GGGACAAAGCTTATAGCAGGGCCTGTAGCAATAGGACAAGGGGTGACAGTTTTAAACTGAAAGAAGGGAGATTTAGTCTGGATATAAGGAAGACATTTTTTACAATGAGGGTGGTGAAATGCTGGCCCAGGTTGCCAAAAGATCACTAAGCTTTTAAAACACCAACTTCATCCTGATACAGGTCAAGAATAGCCTCTCCCCTTGTACTTGGGAAACTGAATCACAAGGAGATTTGGCAGTTTGCTCAAATACTGTGGAAAAGCCACAAACATCTGATGAGTTTGCCCCATCTCCCTGTTGTTGGTTTGCTTTCTGTCTGCAGTAGCTCCAAGCAGTGCACACGAGGTGGGGTGTCTGTTGCTGCTGGGGAGCTCAAAAGGTTTGATCCTCACACATCACATGCCCAGGGTGAGGGGAAGATGAGAAGACAGTTGCAGTCATTTCTGGTATCTCAGGCCCTTAGACACAAATGCTAATTTCAAGCAGAGCAATGAGGAGGTTTCATGATGAGTGTTTTTGGTGTTGCCTCTGTCTAGCAAGTCCTGAGTGATGCCTGTTCCTCTGCAAACTGAGCAGGCCCAGCCTCTCTCCCCTTCAGCAGGTGGAGAGGCCCAGGCTCCCACTGAGCCAAAAGCTTCCACGGGTTTTTAAAATCCAAGCAGGAAACTGAGCCCAAGGTTTAGTAGGTATGAAATGTTTGCCCATTGCAGAAGTTTTAAATACAAAGAATGTCGTGGTTAATTTCCTGCTACCTGGCCTTTTTTATAGCACCACAAAGAGCACTTTGCAAACAAAGCAGGAGGGTGATTCCACCACAAGCTGCCACTTTCCCTGCGAGGTCTGAACACACCTCCCAGCAGGGGCAGACCAGACCCCTCCTCGCTGCTGGGGAGCAGGAGGGAAAGGATTTGTCTTGAGGCCACTGAGCCACAGGTCAGGGAACAACACCCAGTTGTCACACTCTGCCTGGTGGGTGATTCACACCAAGATGCAATGATTGCTCTGCCATGTGCAATACTGAGTGTGTGGATCCATCAACCTTTCTTTAAAGCGGATCCACAGAATTAGATTCCACTGTTCTCTAAAGCCAGTGGGAAAAGCTCATCTTGATGCAAAGATCAGACGTGGCAGGGAGCCAGCAGGAAGGCTGCCCTGTACACTGATACCTGTGTTTTCCTCCTTGCCTCCAAATAAAGCTCCTGAAATCTCTCTCCATCTCACAAACACCAACACTCTCCTCTTTTCCAACTGGTTTAATCATTTACCTCCCTTCCTGTGTGTACTGTGTTAATTTCAGAACAATTCTCTTTGTGCATTACCAGCAGCATTTTGTTGGTTTTGGAGGATTTTCAAAAGAAAAATCCCTGTCAGGCACAAGACTGCTTAGTCCACCTCTTTGTGCTTGTAATTTATTGGGTCCTTGCTGGCAGCAGAGAGGAGCAGTAAAGCTGCCAGGCAGAGCTGGAATTCTGTGCAGGAGTGAAGCCCCCAGGGGCAGCACAGGGCAGGCTCTATGCTGGGGCACAGGGAAGCCTGAGACCCTTTCCACAGGGATGAAACTAGCATGGATGGAATCAAGAGCAGATTAAACCAGCAACTGCCACTTTTCAACTCTATTTCACTGCTCTTGTCTTCAATTCCTCAGCCCTGGGTGCAGGCAGGGTAAACACCTCTTTAGTTCTCAGCTCAAAAAGGAGAGCTGCAGTGGCCAGCTCTCTGCTGACACAAATACAGATGTGAAGGAGCAAACTGGCACCTTGGATTGAAAGCTCTGGAGTCCATTGCTGAGGAAACATGAGCCAGGAAGTCAAGAGGTTTTTCTGCCATGAAGGAAGGAGAGCAAGGCTGTGTTGCTTTATCTGAGGAAAGAGAGCCCAGCCCACCCAAGGCTGTGTGCCTTCCAAGTCATAGGTTTAGGGAGAAGCAATCTCCCAGCCCAAGAACAGCAGACACAGAGGAGTAACCTCAGAGATGCTATGATGAGTGAGAGCCACAGTGCAGCCTTCAGGTGTTCAGAAAACAGAAGCCATAACTCACCCTAAAAGCCAAGACTTGTACATGCACGCACAGAAAAGCGTGGTCGGTTTTTTGTTTCAGGTAAACCTAAACTCCTTGTCTTTTGTATTTGATAATCTTGGTACCCATGAGAACTAGAATTGTTTTTCTTCAGAAGGCCTGAAGCATGAATGAGGAACACCAAAATGACTTGACCACAGCATTTGTTAACATTTTCTCCAAAGACCAGGCTTTCTTCTCAATCCCATCCACTTGACACCTACCACAGGAGCTGTGCTTATAGATTAAGTTAACAAATGCAAACTTGGTGCCAAGAAAAGAGAATAAACCTGCCAGCTCCATGGTGGGACTGCTTGCTTGCCTGCTGTCAGCAGCTTGCACATCCCTGAGCTGTCCAAACAGCTCCCCATGGCTGGGATCCACAGGGCAAAACCATCACAGGTGTTCCCCCCAAGGCCTGGCACCCAACCCATGTCTCTGCTCTGTGTGTCAAGGGGGTAGATTCTCAACAACCACAGCTCTGCCATCTCCCAGAGATCAACTCCAGCTGCTGCCTCCGATTGTTGCTGTGCTGAAGAGGACCAGAGCCACCACTGCTCCTCAGGTCTGGCTGCCACCTCCACTTGGAGAAATGCCTATTCTTTGTGGACTGGTGAAGGTTATGTTTGGTATCAGCTGAAGATGTTCTTAGTACTGCAGCTATCAACCAGTTCTTAGCTCCCAGCACAGTAAACACTGAAAACTTGCTTGTTTCTGAATTCCCCAGTTACCAAATCCAGTTTTTTTTTAATCTTGGGCTTCCTCAGCAAAGTAAACCACCAGCCAGCTGTGAGAACAGGCACACCTCCATGACAGGGGTGCACCTACTCCCACCAAACCACCCCCACCCTCATTGCAGCAGCTCTTACACTCCCTCTAGCTACTCTAAGCATCTTCTCCCAACCACACCTCACTGCCAAGACACTGTGTAATGATCTGCATTGGGCTTTTAGCTGGTGAAGACAGATTGTTCTCTTTAGAACAGGGTGTCTTTTCATCCTGTGATATAATCCCTTTTGTTTTGGAACCAAACCACTTCAATGCAAAAATATACTCACTTTTCCCCCTTGTTTTTACCTCTCCAGACCTGTTACAATGTACTAGAAAGCAAACTGTCATTTATTCAGCACTGTACAGAAGAGCAGATGCTGATTTTTATGCCAAATGACACTGTGTTCATGCAGGAAAGTGCACCCAGCCTGGGACTTACCTGCATCCTTGTCCACACCACATGCACTGGAGGAAGGTCCTGGCTGCAGCTGGCAGGACTGAGACCCAGCTGAAGGCAATTCTTCTGGAAGGCTTTCAGGGGGAGGCTGCAGCTGCACAATCTGCCTCCCCACACACTGCTTACCTCAGGAACTGGGCAAGAGGCAATTCCAGAGAATAAAGGAATTGGGGAAAAACTGACTCGCCTTTTAGAACTGGAATTAGTGAGCAGAGATTTGAGGCTGACCTGCCCCAAGTCATATCCAGGAGGAAGAATCAAGACTCAAAATGAGAACTCTTTAGAGCACATTGTTACTTCAAGTTGTTAATACATGAATGGATCAGTTATTCCATGTAACTGGTAGACTAGAGGAAGCTTGACTGCTAATCCCTTCAGCTGCTTCACTTCTGCATTATAAACAAAGAAAACTGCCCCAAGAAACTAGTCTGGGCTTAAAAGTGTTAGAAGATTCACTGTCACACTGGGGCACCTAGGAGGTTGACCACAAAAAAACCTCAAGGCTCTTGTCTTCCTGAGTGGAGAGAAGCATCAGGCAGTGGTTTGAGTAGGAAGGCTGAGGTACCAGCCCCTTTTGACACAGCACATCACTGAGCTCATCTCCAGGCTCCAACACCTCAGCTTTAAATCCCCTACAGTCTGACAACCCCTTTACCCAGCACCAGGTCTCTATCCTTATGGGTGGGCACAGTGGTACAGCTCATAAGAAACTACTATCAAGTAAATGAATAGAAAATCAAATACTTTAATGAAATTAGGGAGCAGGAGAGTAACAGCTCAGATATACCACTAGAACTGATACTACTGGGCTGTGGGTTGGTTGGGGGTTTTTTGCTATTATTTTTTTAAATGCTCTGTTCTCCAACAAGCATGCAGATTGACAAACTACTAATTCCTTAGAGTGTCAAAAGATCCTGAGTAAAGAATTTCAAACCACTTAAAATGGATAGGAAATGTCTTATGAGCTGGTGGCCTGCACACAGCATTGCACAGATAAAAATATACTACTCTCAATACACAGAGCTAAATACTTTCACATTTATCAGAATTTTCTACACAAGTCTTTTGATAGAATTCAAGAATTTTTCTGTATAGATCTTCCAGCTGTATTAAACAAATGCTTATTTACATTGTGGGTAAAGTGTAAAGGCTAGTAAGGCCATGTCCTCATACTGTACTGTAACACTGCAAAATATATATACACATATAGAACCTAATATAGGCAACAGGTCTAAAAAAAGTCACCTTACATTTGTACAACATAATTGAGTCAGTATGAAAAGACAGCTGTTAGCACCAAGCCACTCCAAGGGGTTTTGTGAACTGCCTCGAGCCTTCCAGCTCCCCAGGGGAGGGCTGCCCAGTGCAGCATCCCAGCCAGGGAGCCAGGGGGGTCCTGCTGGCAGGGTCCCACACACCACTGCACTGCACCCGGGCACACACAGCACTGCAGAGCAGCCCCAGGAGTGCCCAGAGCCAGGCTCTGCAGCCTTCAGAGGTGACACCAGCAAAAACAGCCACCAAGACACCGACAGGACCAAGTCCTTCCTTGTCAGCATCCTTCCTTTGGGTTCAAGAGAACAAGTAACAGCCCTGCCAGCGGAAGGGACAGAACTCAAGCTGGGTGGTTTACAAGCGAGGGTAACCCTCTATTGCAAAGGCCAAACGGGAAAGAGCTGCAGCTGCTCCCATTCCAAAGGAAAGAGCCCAGCTTTATTCACCGCCTGTGCCTGCTGTGGCCCGGGTGCTCCCGCTCGTAGCGGTGACCTGCCCGCTCGTAGGAGCGCGACCGCTCGTGCCTGTGAGTCCTGTAGTAGTGACTCTTCTTCTTGTACTTCCCCGAGTGGTCGGAGCGCTCCCGGGAGCGGCTGCGGGACCGGGACGAGCTCCTGCTGCGGGATTTCCGCGCCTTGTGCGCCGAGTATTTGTAGTCCTTGGATTTCTTGTAGCTTCTCACCTTGGAAGGTTTGTAGCTCGAGCTGTGGTTGAACTGCCTGGGAGGGGAGTCGCTGCGGCTGCGGGAGCGGCTGTGGGACTTGGAGCCGCTCGACGTGGAGTAGCTTTCACTTTTCCTGGGGGGAGGGAGAAACAGGAGAGAAACCGTCATCGTTTCCAAGTATGAAATGGAATTAATTCCCCTGCATGCTGGAGGGCCTGAATCTGGGCACAACACACAGAGTCACATACAGGCACAGCCTTCTCGCTCCCAGAGCCAAGGTGTGCAAGCACAGCCTGAGACCAAGCACTTTGTCCTGCACTTCATGGTTCAGCATCCCATGAAACCTGACCCTGTGTCCCAGACCTGATCACACCTGGCTGCTGTAGGAATTTCAGCCCAGGAGCTTCTCACAGCACAGCCTCCTTTTACACATACCTGTGCTTTGGGGATGCAGATCTGGATGGAGATCTGGAATAACTTTGATCTCGACTTCCACTGCGACTCCTGCTCTCCCTTCCCTTCTGAACCCTGCCAGAGACAAAACACTCATTGTGCTTCAAGCAGCAAAGGGGGAAAAAAAAGGAGCTGCTTTTTTTCTGAAAGCCTTACCCATTTACTGGGCTATTTGAACTCGTTCTCTTGGCTCCCTCCGTTTTCCTTTTAGCATTCTTCATTGCCTGAACAGGTAGTGGTGAAGGTTTATTTCCTTTAACCTCTTTTGGAGACTCTAGAAGAACAAGCCTGTGTTACCTTATAGCCGCAGGTGGGCAGTGCCTGGCAGGACCGAGGTCTCCCCCCAGTGTCAGTGTCTCTGCACAGCCCAGGCACACACAACAACCACCCACACCCAGATCTCCAGTTAATCACACCTAAACTTTCATACCTGTTTAGCATTACGTGCCAATTGCAAGCATTTGTTTATTGCCAAAACCACATAAAAGCCAGTCCCTGTGCTATTTAAATTTGATCTAGCCTTAATGACCACCCACACCCAGATCTCCAGTTCATCACACTAACCTTTCATACCTGTTTAGCATTACGTGCCAACTGCAAGCATTTGTTTGAGTTTATTGCCAAAACCACATAAAAGCCAGTGCCTGTGCTATTTAAATTTGATCTAGCCTTAATTTTAGACTAATTTGCTTCTAGCCTTCATCTGTTTGAAGAAATCAAAGTCACAATGCCATTCAAACTTTGACTTTTGACTAGTTGCTGGAAGCCAGCTTAAAAAAAAAACAACACAGAGACCTAACTACACTACATATGCATCCCTAAAGGTTAAATATTAATTTAAGAGAAGGAAGAATTATGAAAAACAAGCTATTGACCACTTACCATTTTTTGGTACAGGGGAAAATCCTGATGTGTTGTCCAAACTTGGGACTCCCTCAGGTACTAGACCTTTAGCTTGTGCTTTTGCCTCCTCAATAGCCAATTTCTTCTTTTCTATTTTACTTTCCAGATCAGATAAATCAACCTGGGAACAAAGGAGCTCTGCTTATGACAGAACTTAGTAAACTAGACTTCTGCTTACTCACTTACAGGGAGGGGAATAATAATCTAAAGAGACTCAAGACACTGTGACTACTGTGCTGTTCCACTTAATGCACCAGGCCAGTTCCAAACAGGATCAGGTTTTCCAACTCAAGTTCTAAGCAGCAGCCTCTAATTAAGGCTCACAATATGAAAAAAAAAAAAAAGAAGCAAACCTTTTTCCTAGTATAGAGTTGCAAAATTTTTAAGCAGATTTCTTGAATCTCTTCCTCTGTGGCTCCAAAGAGCAAAAACCAGTGTGGACGATTAGGAAGTGGAATCTGAAAGGGAGAGGGGAAACACATGCTCACGTTTCTGCTTCTATTTAAAGACCTCCCCAAGTTGTAATGAATGGAACTGTCTGCTCACCTCCAGTGTCCTGGCTGCCAGGTAAATACATGCACAGGCAATGCTTTCTGGCTGGAACCTCACAAAGACATCTGTTCTCAGGCTGTCGTTCATGTAATTCCTGAAAGACAAGGTATCAGCCAAGTTACAGGGCACTGCTAAGTTGTCTGGGGGCTTTGCTTTCTTTTTACTTCTCTAAGGACTATTTCTTTCTGCAGTTACTCTACTTTACTCCTGTAAATTTAAGGTTGAATAATTTTACTAAAAATAAAAAAAATCACCCCTCAAGGGGAGGGATGTGAGGCACAAATTAAGTAGGACTGACTGCTGAAAATTCAGCTGTGAAACGAGAACCAATTTTAACTTCACTTTTCCTTCTGGATCTCTGCTGGCCTGCTCTCATGCAACAGACAAGTTATTGTCACCACCACAACATACAATATCATCTGAAGGACTCAGTTATAGACTGTTAGGTTCATATGTTTCTCTACAAAAGGGCTGAACCCAAATGGCTTGCTGAAAGCTGCAGCTCCTGTAGCAGTTCTCCCAAGACAGTGCAATCCACTTCAGCAGGCAGCAACTTCCACTGGTGACTGAAGGGGTCTCCTTTCCTTTGGAAGCACCATTTTCCATCCAAAACAGAATTCCTTTTGATGCAAAAAGCAGCCATAGAAGAAATCAGGGTGTTTGGGAACATCAATTCAGGAGAATACTCAGTATTCAGGCAGATCTCCTCTTTGGCACATGAAATACGGTTTCCAAATTGTCCCATTTCAGTAAGGTTGCTTAAAATGAACATTCACAGAATGAGAAAACTGTAAAATATTGCATATATTCCAGTCAGTACACTTAAGCATTAGTTTAAATCTCAAATATACAAAGCAACTTCCTCTGAATCTGTCAAGCTGATACGTTTAAAAAAGATATAGATTTTTTGAGCATGTATATCAAGCTGGGAAAAGCTAAAACCAGACACAACAGAAACTTCTCAAAGTAATATAATTCTTGAGAGTAGTCACTACCCACGTGGGTACCCAGCATAAAAAGGATTCACTGACCCCCAGACATCCAAAACAGAGCCCACAGCCACTTGTAAACAGTTTGCAGAGGACAAAGGGAACTGGAACCCCAGGGGCACCAAACTCCCACCTGTCCCAGTTGCCTCACACTCCTCTTAGTAGGAACAGGAACTGCTGCCCCAGAGAAGCAGTGCTGAACATCACTGTGGTTCTGGCAGAAGGGAACTTCAACACCTCCTTCTCTTACTCCACCAGACAGACAGCACAAAGCTTTTGGTAAAAGAAGGGCTAAACAAAAGTGGTACTTCAAATGTCTGGAAGTCTTAAAGCCTTTGTCTCATCTGCCAAATTAAAAAAATCACACCCACTTTCAAGTTTGGACTCTGCCTCTTTTCCCTGTGGGCTCAGAATCAGACAGTGAGGAAATGAATCCTTGTCACAGTATTTTAAGAAAAAGGTAATGTTATAAAAATGCACATTTCAAAAAACAGTTATACTGGATATCCACCAGTTTTCAGTACTGGAAGCAACAAGCATCAGTACACAAATGTGTTATTTTAACACCTGAACCATCTCCCAGTTGGGGTAACTTCCTCCCTCTTTGTCACTTACCCCTCCTTCCATAACAAGCAGAAAACTGGTAAAGAGTAATCCAGAACTCACATTTGAGTACTTCATGCAATGGTACTAGGAACTTTCTCTATGTCCTAAGTATTAGATTTGACTCGTAGCTTCACATATCTACTCAAATGTTTTAAACAAGTTTACAAATAGAAACTAGATACCAGGTTTTGTTGTAATTCATCCCTTTAAGATTAAACCCCACCTTAATTTACTCTATCAGATAAAAACACGTAATTTTAACAGTTAGAGCAATAGAACATGAAAAGCATTTCAGAACATCAACAATCAGGTTATAAAATATACAACAGTCAAAATGCATGATAAAAACAAAAAGCAGAAGAAGCAGTTGGCCAGTTACTATACTATCATGTATATACCACCTGTCTAGAGCAGCCTTCTCTTGGTAGAGCCTGCTTTGGTTTGACTGAAGACGGCAGCTATCCCTGCACCATAGGCTTGGGCAGCAGAGGAGAAGTCTTAGTCACTTACCCTCAGAGGCTACCCTTTGATTAAAAGAGTACAGAAAAGAAAAGTCAAAACTGGTTCTCTACACACAGGTCACAGTACCAGACAGTTCAGTCAGCAGAAATATGATCTTTGGATCTTTTAAAACCACAGTATTGTTAAAAAGCGTTACTGTTTAAAAGCACTATTACTTTTTTAAAGTTTAAAGACCTGGAATTTTACCTAAGCTTCCCATCCCCAAGCAAATCTTTACTGCAATGAGAGCAACAAGGCAGAGGACATTTCTTGGCAAACATGAAAACATCAAGAAGCTGACACCTTGCATTATCCATACAGATAAAAGCCATTTATCTGTGCTGAGTTTTTGATGCACCTGTAATCCAGCTCAAGCCCTGGGAAAAGCCACTTCCCAGCACTGGTAACAGACTTTAAACTACACATAATTTTCTCTGAAGAAAAAAAAAAACCCAAGAAAACTCTATAACCCTCTCAACATTTTCCCTTCAGCTGAAAAGTGAAAGCAGAGAGGAGGGAAGTGAGAAATCAGGGTGAAAAGCTACCTTACCATTAAAACTGTGCCTCTGACTTAAGAGGCCGATCAACATTTGGGGAGTAGTTTGGGGCACGCCAAGAAACACTGGAGCTGTCTGGTGTGGCCCACAATCATTCTGAGCAATGCTGCCCAGAGTGCCTCAAGTGACATATTTCTGCTACTGCCCCTGCTGGTCTCTTACAACAAAGAAAATCAACTTACCATGAGGTCTGGACCAGGTGTTGGTTACGTTCACATTCTAATACCTGAAGGTACATAACGATTATCTGGAAGATACGGGTTATTGTGTTATTAACAAGAATCTTGAGAGCCACCTGTTTATTTCAGAGGGACATCCATGAGGCATCTGCTCCTCTCTTTCAAGGTCTAAAACACTCCACATGAGAGAGTGTTGGCAACTCCCCCAATGTTTATCCACACAGCTTGATATGAAGTTGGTATGAGCTGACACTCAACCAGAGCTGACCTTCCTAGCTCTCCGTCTTCTCAGCTCAGCCATCATGCTATTCATCTAGAGGTCTCCTCTTCCAACTCTTCCCAAGCTAGGTATGTTCTCCTACACAATTCACGACTCCTTTTTAGCTGTGACTTGGGAGAAAATACTGCTAGCTGCAATGAGCAGTAACAGAGTGCAACAGTGTTTGCAGAGAACAGCTCTAACATTGCGTGGCACTGGCTCGTTCAGCTCTAGTTGTGTTTTTTTCTTAGGCTTGAAAGGAAAACAAGGATGCAGGTAAAAAGACTACTCTACTAGCAAAAATTCATACCAATTAACAAACAGTTCTCTGGGGTGCTGTTAACTGGCGAGTTCTGAAAGTCAAGGAGGCTTAAAAAGACCTTAAGACAGCAATAGTTTTCAGAGGAAGAAAGAGCAAGATCCCAAGTTCCACTGGAACAGGAGGTTCTTCTACCACACTTGGCTACTAAAGGCACAATGCTGAGGGTACTAAAGCAGCAACTTAAATATTTGCAGTAGTCACATCCTCCAAATACCACCCTAGCCTGACATGTGATACTTCCAACATTGAGAATTGTCTCATTTCTGGTCAAGCCCTGCACACTGCACAGCTGCCATGCACGTAAGCAGCCTGAGAGCATTTATAGCACAGGATTAAGACTGATTACAAAGTCAATGTATGCAGTACAAACCTTGTGAGGGTGCTTCACATGAACACAAAATCCCAACTCCTTTAACACTCTTCGTTCTGCCTTAATTATTTGATTCTTCAAGTTCACATATTCTTGATCCAGTATTAGAGGCACAGGTTTTCTGCAAGACAATTTCACATTCTGAAGATAATCTTAACCTCAAATACTCACACGCCGGTTAAACTGCATTTGTGTGAAAACACCAGACATCACTATAACACCAAAAATGTTTATTTCATAAAACAGGCTGACTCAACTTTTCTACTTCATCAGACCTCTTCAAGATGTTGCCTGATTGATGGAACAGGGAACGACACCATCGTGAAGTTTAACAATTGAGACACAGCATAAATAAACCCTCCAGATTTCCAAGCCCCCACTTACTTTTTCTCCCGGATGTGTCGGAGGCGATGGAACACGTTGATGACATCCCTTATCCTTCGTGGTGCTTCTTCAATTTTGGATGCCAGGTGCACACAGGCCATTGACACGTGCTGAAACAGAAGCAGGAGAAGACACTGATGTTTTGCTCAGGTCAGGAACTGATCACCTCCAATAGCTCCAGAAGGGATAACGAGAGAAAATGGAGGTAAAACACAGAAACACCCAAAAAACCTGACAAACTCAGTACTCTAAAATCACCTTGATCATAAGCAAAACCTCCAGGCTAGTTACTAACACTTCGATCACACCCAACTTGCCAAACAGAGCAAAGATTAAATAACCTTTTGTACCCACAGAGATCTTTGAGTATTTTCTTACCTCCATGGAATGCTTCACAAAAGACTTGGTATAAAAAAACCTCTGAAATAGCACCTGTCCTGTAGCCATTGCCACCTACAAAGAGAACAACAAACCAGGCATTAACACAACTACCACCAGGTAAAAAAAAAATAAAATTAATTGAAGTTATTTCAACAGATTTAAGAGCCAGAAGAGCAGCTAAGCTATGTTTAAGAGAAGACCAGCCAAGCTATGTGTAAATCCAGGAGTAAGTTCAGTGATATCTAAAGCAAACAAGCACCACCACCTCAGTAGCCAACTAAGTTGCCCAATATCAACATCACAAACGCTGTATCTAGGTCAAATGCCTACATTAAACGGCAAACTTGTTTTATGAATTATGAAAACGTGCTGCGAATTAAATAATTTTTAGAACACACGTTAAAACCCAACAAACCCGAACGTTAGTGTGCCAGAAAAACTTCCTTTGGCACGGCGGGCGGGGGGAATCTCGTTTTATTATGATTTCCATCAACTCTTAACACAACGGGAGCAACCGAGACGCTTCCAGGCGCCTGGAAAGTTTTCCACTCGGGAGAGCAACGCGCCTGCGGTTGTTTGGAGCTCGCCAGGAAAACAAAACCCTTCCCGGGTCACTACAAGGCCGAGGAACGCAATTCCCGGCAGGCCGGGAGCTCAGAGCGGCCCCGGGATCCCCGCCCCGCCGGGAGGGCGGTTACATCACCCGCTTCCTGCCCGGGCCGGGCGGGGAGGCCTTGGTGTTTCTGCCTCCCGCAGCCAGGCCGCAAAGGCCGGTTCCCCGCGTCCCTCGCTGCCACC